GCTAGAAACTAAGTAGATAGTTATTAAGCTAGTTAGCTAGAAACTAAGTAGATAGTTATTAAGCTAGTTAGTTAGAAACTAAGTAGACAGTTATTAAGCTAGTTAGCTAGAAACCAAGTAAGATAGTTATTAAGCTAGTTAGTTAGAAACTAAGTAGATAGTTATTAAGCTAGTTAGCTAGAAACTAAGTAGATAGTTATTAAGCTAGTTAGCTAGAAACTAAGTAGATAGTTATTAAGCTAGTTGGCTAGAAACTAAGTAGACAGTTATTAAGCTAGTTAGTTAGAAACTAAGTAAGATAGTTATTAAGGTAGTTAGCTAGAAACTAAGTAAGATAGTTATTAAGCTAGTTAGCTAGAAACTAAGTAAGATAGTTATTAAGCTAGTTAGCTAGAAACGAAGTAGGATAGTTATTAAGCTAGTTAGCTAGAAACTAAGTAAGATAGTTATTAAGCTAGTTAGCTAGAAACTAAGTAAGATAGTTATTAAGCTAGTTAGCTAGAAACTAAGTAAGATAGTTATCAAGCTAGTTAGCTAGAAACTAAGTAAGATAGTTATTAAGCTAGTTAGCTAGAAACTAAGTAAGATAGTTATTAAGCTAGTTAGCTAGAAACTAAGTAGGATAGTTATTAAGCTAGTTAGCTAGAAACTAAGTAAGATAGTTATTAAGCTAGTTAGCTAGAAACTAAGTAAGATAGTTATTAAGCTAGTTAGCTAGAAACTAAGTAAGATAGTTATTAAGCTAGTTAGCTAGAAACTAAGTAAGATAGTTATTAAGCTAGTTAGCTAGAAACTAAGTAAGATTGTGTGCATCTGGACCCGGTGACGACATTACCTATTGACGCAGCAACCACTGTAAGTTATATTCTTGTTTAATTAGACTTCTCGGTTTCATTTATTCGACTCTGTATAATTGTTATTGTACCTTAAACGGCTAAATCGCTTTTGAGAGATTTTAAATCTCAGATCTGCTCAGGCGAAACCTGCTTCACAGGTCTCAGCACTCAAGCCTGCATTATTAATATAGGCAGGGCCAGTCTATTGATTGCGTGAAGTAGAACCGCGTGACTCAGTAATCTTTTAGCTCAAAAAGCATTTAAATACCGCATTTAAAAACTGATGAACTCAGTGTGCATCTGGACCCGGTGACGACATTACCTATTGACGCAGCAACCACTGTAAGTTATATTCTTGTTTAATTAGACTTCTCGGTTTCATTTATTCGACTCTGTATAATTGTTATTGTACCTTAAACGGCTAAATCGCTTTTGAGAGATTTTAAATCTCAGATCTGCTCAGGCGAAACCTGCTTCACAGGTCTCAGCACTCAAGCCTGCATTATAAATATAGGCAGGGCCAGTCTATTGTCGCCCATCAGCTGTAGATAGTTAACTACAGTAATTAGAGGGGCGTGCCCCTACAGCTGTGAGAACTGAGCAATCAGGCGTCCATTTTTAGGTATCACTTTCCTGGACCGTCAGCTTCAGCGTCAGACAGCCGAAGACTGACAAAGACATTGGAGTCCTACAGGAGTCAAAGACTGACAAAGACATTGGAGTCCTACAGGAGTCAAAGACTGACAAAGACATTGGAGTCCTACAGGAGTCACGAGGGAGGCAAAGAGGAGACAAATCCTACTTTGATTGAGCTAAGTATCGCTGGTGTTTTTATTTTCTATTTTGTTTCATTTTATTTTGTTGTTTAGCCCCTCATGCTATAATCATGTGTATTTTCTCCATTCCTGTTCATGTGTCTTCTCGCAATTATCACTGGCCCCGTGTATCTCCTAATCGATATAACCGGCCTGCTCTCGTCTATCCCACATGCTCCACTGAGATCCAACATCTAGTTTCAGGTGGCCTGTGGAACTGCCAGTCAGCTGTTCCTAAGGCTGACTTCATCTCTGGCTACGCCTCCCTGCAGTCTCTGGATTTCCTTGCTCTCACTGAGACCTGGATTACTCCATCCAACACATCCACCTCAGCAGCTCTCTCCACAGCATATTCCTTCTCCCATACACCCAGACCCACTGGCAGAGGAGGTGGCACTGGTCTCCTGCTCTCTCCCAAATGGAGCTTTTCCCTCTTCAAGCTACCTAACTTCACTCCTTCCACCTTTGAGTTCCATGCCGTCACAGTAACCCATCCTATACAGTTAACCATTGTTGTTCTCTACCGTCCACCAGGCGCCTTGGGGGACTTCTTGGAGGAATTAGATCATCTCCTCTCACACATCCCTGAAACTGGCCCTCCCGCTGTACTTCTCGGAGACTTCAACCTCCAGACGGGGAAGATAGACAAACTAACATCTCTGTTAACCACCTTTGCTTTCTCACTGTCTCCGTACCCACCGACTCATAAAGCTGGCAATGTCCTTGATCTCATATTCTCAAGGAACTGCGCTACTTCTAACCTCTCTGTAAACCCGCTCCACACATCCAATCACTTCATTTTATTCTCTCTATCCCTTTCCAAACATAACAAACTAATCTCTTCTCATCCTACACTTGTCCGCCGTAACCTTCGCTCCCTCTCCCCCTCTACCTTTGCCTCGTCGGTGCTCTCAGCCCTCCCTTCCTCTGATTCGTTCCAACTCCTGCTTCCAAACTCTGCTGCAGAAACTCTCCTCTCTACTCTCTCATCCACTCTGGACTCGCTCTGTCCTCTCACATCTCGGCAGGCTCGTCAGTCCCCTCCTGCTCCCTGGCTAAATGATGCACTGCGTGCTAATAGAACCGTCCTTAGGGCAGCAGAGCGGAAATGGTGGAAATCCAAACACCGTGACGACCTCCTAACCTATCAGGCTCTCCTCTCCTCTTTCTCTGCTTCGATCTCTCAGGCAAAAAGCACTTTCTTTCAAGATAAGATCCAATCTTCCTATTCCAATCCTAAAAAACTATTTTCCATCTTCTCCACCCTCCTGGACCCTCCAAAAGCTCCTCCCCCCTCCTCACTTCTTTCAAGCGACTTTGTTACCCACTTTGAAAAAAAGGTTGATGATATTCGCTCTTCTTTTTCTGACTCACCTTTAC